AGTTATTTAGTCCCAGCACTTGGGAGGCAGAGGCAGGCGGATCTCTGTGAGTTCGAGGCCAGCTGGGTCTACATAGTGAGTTCCAGGACAGCTGGGCCCTGTCTCAAAAAGACCAAAAAAAAAATATTTAGAAAATTATTTCTTATTGATGATTTTGTTCTTAAGCAGAAAGTGCTGCTCAGATGTAAGACTTCAAATCTTGGTCTCCAGTACTGTCGTGCCCACCTGTAGCTAAGGGAGACAATAAGGTGTTGTTCTAAAATGATGGATAAATTTGTTTTCTCCCCTATCTAGAAGCCTTTGAGAGGGAACTGACACTGATTCTAACCACTCCAACAGCTGTCAAAATATCTGAAAGCAAATCCTGAATCCATCACTCTAGAGTCCAGCCTTGGAGGACAAAAGAAAAATGAGGAACCCTATAGAGGGATGCTTTTGGAAGCTCTTGTCAAGAAACTCCAATGGACTCCCATATGAACATTTGAAAATTGCCCTGTTCTGACTTTTTTCTTGTTCCCTGTCTAGAACTTGTAGTGCTAATTACTTTTGCCTTTACTTCACATCTCCTCTTCATGATTCAAGGACTTTCTTTTCCCCCTAGAGATAAGAGTTATGCAATTTGGAATTCTTTTAGATAGACCCACTGAAGGGGCACTCCAGTTGCCTTACCCTGCTTCCCTGTTCAGCATGGAAGAAGCCAGTTGGCAATTTGGCTAACCTCTTCAGAGGATGGTGTGATAAGAATGGGAGGTAGGAATTGGCTAGGCAGTTAGGGTAAAAAGACCCCAAAGAAAAGTAGCCAGTTTCTTAGCTAAAACTCAGTGTTCTTGCTCTCTTAGCAACATACTCTGTTCCAAAGGCCAAAAATGTCGAAAATATTTGGGAGCTTTTATCTAATCCTTAAAAGATTTTAGGGTTACCTCTTCAGAGGAGGGAATGGTAGAGTAGCCAAAAGCCCCACAAAAAAAAATCAAGAAGAAGAAAGAATACATGAAGTTATGAGAAAAAAGTGGTGGGGCTATATGGGAGAGTTGTAAGGGAGGGAGTGGGAATGGATTTGATCAAAACACTTCATATGCATGTATGAAATTCTCAACAAATTATTTAAAAAATATTGATGCTCAGTCATCTCTCCTAGTCAATTAAGACAACATCTCTGGGAAAGAGTCCCAGAGAGTGGTGGTGTTTAAATGCTCCCCGAATGATCTTAAAATGCAGAGTTGTAAATAAGTCTCCAGGCAAAGTAAACAAAATAGATCATACAAAAATAAATGAACTTTCACATTCATAAACATAGGATAATTGGTGTCCAGCAAGATTTTTATACCTATTTAATTTTCTATGAGCCCCTCTACCACCGTCAACCTCAACTTCTGTATACTGGAAAGTTGACTGAGCTTTTCAGTTGGTTTGCCTTCCTTGTTTGGTGTTTGTGGTTTGTTGACAAACTGCCCAGAATATGGTGAAAGACAACCACAGTTACACCAGACTCAGTGTCAGCAGTGGCTTGCTACATAAATGAGGTGTTTTTCTTAGAGCTCTAAAAGAGTGAAAAGGAACATATAAACAAAGGAATCAAATAGATCCTAGGAGCTGATTCAAAGTCACAGTTTGGTGAGGATGTGCTATTGTGAACAAAGAAATGATTCTGCCTCCCAATATATTACAAAATTTGTTATTAGAGAGTGAACTGAGGGCCTTACACATACTAGGGGAAGTACTCTACCACTGAGCTACAACTCCAGCCTCCTCAATATGTTTTTCCTTGCTCTTCAATATTTTTATTTTTTTGTGTTTTTTGAGACAGCGTCTCCTTGTAGCCCCAGCTGTCCCGGAACTCACTATGTAGACCAGGCTGGCCTCGAACTCACAAAGATCTGCCTGCCTCTGCCTCCCAAGTGCTGGGATTAAAGGCATGTGCCACCATGCCTGGCTCCTCAATATTTTTAAAATGTATTTTTATTTTATGTGTATGAGTGTTTTGTCTTTATGTATGTAAGTGCACCATGTGTGTGCAGTGTCTGAGAGGTCAGAAGATGGTGTCAGATCGGCTGGAACTAGAGTTGCAGGCAGTGGTGAGTCACCATGTGGGTGCTGAGACTGAACTTAGGTCTTCTGCAAGAGGTTCTCCTAACCGGTTCCAAGCCATCTCTCTCCAGCCTCTTGTCAATTTTTATAGGAATGTTTGAGGAATAAAATATACACTTCACATTTGTTCTAAATCTTTGTAGTGAAATAGTTTTTCCAGACATACTGAAAGCTAATTACACTAAAAGTTAACTTGTAATAAAAATGAACAGTCTTGAGTAATTCTTAGTCTCAATGAGAACTGAATAAAGGTACATAAGATTCATCAAATATATTTACTACTCCAGTTTCTTAAGATGACTAGATGTTCCCTCTTTTGTTGGTTCCATTTTGTAAGACCCACCGCATATAGTGTCTTTAGACTGTACAGAGAAGTACAAATGATGCTGTGCCTTATCTACTTCAGTCACATCTTAGTGCTGTCTGGTAGTGTTCTGGAAGCTTCAGTTGTCAGCTTGACACATCCGGGAAGAAGGAACCTCAATTGGGTTATTCCTTTTTAATGGAAGGACCTGCGGCCATGTCTGTGAGGCATTTTCTTGACTGCTGAGTGATGTGGGAGAGCCCAGTCCACTGTGGGTGGTGTCACCCTGGGCAGGTGGGGCTGTGTTGTATAAGATAGCAGGCTGAGCACAGGTCAGAGGAAAGCAGGTAGGCAGCATTCCTCCATGGTCTGTGCTTCAGTTCCTGCCTCCAGATTCCTGCCCAGGCTCCTCTCAGTGATGAACTTAAGCTCTAAGGTAGAACAAACCCTTTCCTCTTCAGTGGGTTTTGGTTAGAGTATTTTATCACAGTAACAGAAAAGCTAACCAAGATAGGTAGGTTATAGTTATCTTAAATATTTAACAAGAAGCAGGAAGTCTATAGTACTCCTTTTTACTTTAGTCACTGCCCCTCAGTGATAAATACCCTAAATTAGCTTCATTTTCTTACTATCCTTTCTACACTTTCTGCCAACCTCCCACCCCCCATTTCTTAGCCAACATCAAGTTGGTAAAAATGTAACTGGCACAATTTGAAGGATGTATTAAATAAGCTGTGTTAGAAAGTTTAAAAATATAACTGGCATATTTCCTGGAGAAAATTTAATTCTCTAGGTTTCTTTCAGGGTTCCTGTTACATCCTTATGGAAATAGGATCATTTTAAGCTTCATGTGGGTATTTTAGATACTTGGGTTACATCAAGGAACCTGGTAGATCAAATACCAGAGCAAGGAGCTTGACAAATGGCTCAGTGGTTAAGAGTGCTTGCTGCTTTTTCAGAACACAAGGGTTTGGTTCCCAGCACCCACATCGGGTGGCTCACAGCCACCTATAATTCCAGCTCCAAGGGATCCAACATATTATGGCCTCTGAGGGCACCCACACACACGTGACATCCACTCACATAAACACATACATACACATACACACAAATAATAAAAAGAAATCTTAAAAAAAAGAAACCTTGTTCTATGGAAGAGGAAAACATGTCCCAGGGTGCAAGATAATTTGTAAAGTGAAGTAATTCAGAGGAAGCAGAGCCTCATGCAAAGACTAGAATCATTGACTTCCCACCAGTATTTCTTTTCTCCTTGTTGCAGCAATACCTGACAAATAGCAACTTACAGAAGGAAGGGTTTATTTTGGCTTACAGTCAGAGGTAATATGGAAGGGAAGGCACAGTGGTAGGAACCAGGGAAGGCTGATCTTATTACATTGGTAGTTATGAAGCAGGGAGACTGGTACCTGACTATAAAACCTCAAGGCTGGCCCCAGAGGCCTAATTCCTGTAACAAGGCTCCACCACCTTGTCCAAGCAGCACCACCAGCTAGGGAACAAGTGGTTAAACACAAACGTCTATAGGAGATTATTTAAAGTTGCTTTCTACTGCTTTCTCCTACTAAGAGGTTGACAAGGTAGTGTACACCTTTTATCCCAGCACTTGGGAAGCAGAGGCAGGCAGATCTCTGTAAAATTGAGGTCAGCCTCAGCTACATAACAAGTTCCAGCCAGTCAGGGCTACATAGTGAGACCCTGTCTCAAAAAAAAAAAACAAAAACAAAAACAAAAAAAACAAACAAAACAACAAAAACCCCCTAAACATCAACAAAAAACTCAAAAAAGTAAGGCCACGAATCATTAGGAGAGCCCACAAGAAGGCCAAGGGGGGACAAAGTATTCTCCATCAAGTTTAAAAAAATTATAGTTCTGATGGACGTTGTGGTGCACGCCTTTAATCCCAGTACTAGGGAGGCAGAGGCAGGTGGATCTCTGCGAGTTCAAGGCCAGTCAGCCTTACATATCGAGTTCTAGGCTCGCTGGGGCTACAGGGAGACCCTGTCTCAAAAAGAAAAAGGGAAATTAAAGTTATTTGGTACATTACTAAAGCAATTGAAAACAATTCCTGACTTTTCTGGAGAGTAGATTAAGGTTTAAGTGCTTTCAAGGAAAAGTGGTAAGAGACTCAGTCACAACAGAAGGCCAAAAGGCATACAAAGGATGGATTTTAGCGACATGGACTGTTCCTTCTGTAAGATGAGTGTGATCCTAGGATAGTTTGCTTTGTGAGTCTGAGTTTTGTGAGAATGGCTTAACACTGCGAAAGCACACCCTTTACCTAGTCTAAGGTGCTTTTATCTGAGCGTTCCTTCCGGTCTGGAGATGGTCGGAACTGGGGTACTGGGACAAAGGCCACCCGATGGTCACAGGCTCCGGACCAGAGGGTGGCCTTTCTCGCTGGGGAGTCTGCTCAGCCGGGTCCGTCACGAACTCTACAGAAAGACTCAGCCGGCCCAAACAGCCTGGCACCGGAGCCTTTGAGTCTCGCCTCCTCGCATGCGCTTAGCTTCCCCCAGCTCTTTTCGATCCCTACGCACGTACCGGTTGTGCGCTGACGTCATCACGGCGTGCGCAGCTTTCCAGGCGGCGAGGAGGGTGGAGCTTGTGTCCGGCGGAGCGGGGGCTGCTCGGCTGCGGTCACGGGTTGCTGCGGGCTCTCCAGCGGCGGCGTAGGTGCTGGGACGCGGCTGGCTCTGGGGCTTCGGAGCAGCGACTCGGCCATGCCGAACTCGAGGCCTAGAGCGCGCCGGGTTGCTGCGGGAGGCGCGGGGGCGGCCGGCCGGGACAGGCTGGTGGCGCAGTCCTTGCAGAGCGCCGAGCACTGTCTAGGTGCCCAGGACTTCGGTACCGCCTATGCCCATTACCTTCTGGTGCTCAGCCTGGCTCCGGAGCTGAAAGGCGACGTGAAGGTGAGGCCTGCCGTCCTGTGATCTTATCTACGACCACAGAGGGTGGTCTGTGTGTGTGTGTGTGTGTGTGGTGTGTCAGAGACAGAGACAAACATTGACTAATTGTTGATTGATTTATTGTTCTGTGATCGTCCAGAATCTAACCTCCTCTCCGCACCTTCACCTCCTTTCACTCCCCTGGTTCAGACCTCAATCATCTGCCCACTGGGCTTGCAGATTCCCTAGTGGGCTTTCCTGAGGTCTACATCAACATCCAGGTTTTTGCAACAAAGTCAACCTGTGTCGCACATCTGTTTTATAGTTTCCACCTCACTTTAGATTCCAAAACCTTGGATTGATACCCTGTCTCCTCCTGCGTCTAATTTAAACTAGGCCCTCGCACGGAGGCTTTGCCTTATTGAGTAGAAGGAATACTGTGGGTCCCCATAGTTGAATAAAGTGTGGTTAATCTTAGGGACTCTTTATTTAATGATCCATCTTTAAGCTTCAAATATTATTTGCAACAGTTACTCTGTTGAACCACTGTACATTTTTCTCAAGTATTAGAGTCTAAATTTTAAAAAAGACTTAATTGCAGGAGTCAGCCATAGACTACTTTACTTTGCCCAGAATTTTCTCAACATTGACTCTGTTGACATTTTTGCATGAGGTAATTCCTTGTATTGGGCTGCCCTGTGCCTTCTGGAGTGTTTAGCAGCATCCTTGTCCCACTAGATGGCAGTAACATTAGACTTTAGTAGTTCACATCCTTTTTGGGCCCTACTGACTTTCCTCAGCAGTGTATAGTATGTTTAGGTAGTTTGCATCTCTTTGTAGACATCGGTAGAGCAATGGGTCAACACAATTGCTTTTCCTCAGTTCCTTCTTCTATAAATGGATAATATGTCTAAGAGATCTTTACTATGAATTGAAAGTATACATAAAAATGGGTTGGGAATTTAGCACATTGGTAGAATGCCTGCCATAAAATGACCCAGAGTGTAAGGCTCTGAGTTCCAACCCCAAGACCGGGGGAGAAAGGCATAATTTGAATTGAAGGGCTGGAGATGTAGCTTCTTTGGTAGAGTGTTTGCCTAGCAAGCAGGACATTCGAACCCACTATGGTGGCACATACCTGTAATCCCAGCATTTGAGAGGTAGAGGCAGAAGGATTAGAAGTTTGATGTTATCCTCAGTTACAAAGTGAGTTTTAGGTCAGTGTGGGCTATATGAGATTCGTCTTAAATTTTTTTTTAAATTAAAAACTGAGGGCCTAGAGAGATGACTCAGCGGTTAAGAACACTTCTTGCAGAAGACCTGGGTTCAAATCCCAGCACCCACATGGCAGCTAACAACTGTCTGTAACTCCAGTTCCAGGGGATCTGACAGACTCTTCTGTCCTCTATGGGCATTGCATGACATGGGTGCACTTACCTACACTCAGGCAATACATGCATACACATAAAATAAAAATAATAAATAAAAAAACAATTTAAAAACTGGTAATACCTGAGTTTCAATAGGATTTAGTAACTACTTTGGTTTTATCTGGAACAGAGTTCATATTTCTTTGCACAAGCCTCATGTGCAGTTTTCATTTCCTGCTATTCTCTTTGCTACCTATAACCCACACTTGAGTCACATTAAACCACTTACTTTTAAAAAATGTGTATGAAAGCAGGGCATGGTGGTGCATACCTGTAGTCCTAGCACTTGGGAGGCAGAGGCAGGTGGATCTCGGTGAGTTTAAGGCCAGCCTGGTCTACATAGTGAGTTCCAGGCCAGCTAGGGGTACAGGGAGACCGTGTTTCAAAAAAACCAAAAAAAAAAAAAAAATGTGTATGAGTGTTTGCCTGCTTGTATATATGTGCACTTTGTGCATACCTGGTACCTGTGGAGGCCAGAAGAGGATGTCAGATCCTTGGAATTGGAGTTACAGATGGTTGTAAGCTGCCATGTGGGTGCTGGGAACTGAATACAGGTCCTCTGCAAGAGCAGCAAATGCTCTCAGCTGCTGAGCCATTTCTCCCTTAGCTTGCTTATTTATTTATTTATTGTTTATTTATTTATTTATTTATTTTATTGTTGTCAGGTACCAAACCAAGGATGTTAAGCATCCTAGAAAAGTGCTGTACCACTGAGCTGTATCCTCAGCTCCCAGTCTGATTGCCTATAGAGCTCTTGATTCATTTTGTATAATACCTAGATATCTAAAATATCTGTCATATATAATAGAAGCTCCTTCCTTATCCTTATCTTTCTAGTAAACTGCGTTGCAATTCTGTTTCAGGTATTGACTCTTCTATGTAAAGTATGTTATCTTGAGAAGGGTAGAATGTCTGAAGCCTGCCCTCTTTATATAGTATAGCAGCATAGAGAATGGCCAGAGGAAGATCAGACCAGAGCTAGGCTGGTAGTAAGAAGCATTCACTGTACTCCAGCAAGGGACTACAGGACTAGGCTAGGTTCTAACAGTATTGGCTGTCAGATGACAGATTGAAAAATAGTGAGAGGGCATTGGCTGGGTTTGAAATATGGGGAGTTAGGGTAGAATTTGTGGTTTAACACTGAGTGATACCCTTATCCTATAAGAGTAATATGGTAGGTCTGGTTTCAAGATTGTTATATTTCTCTCTACAGGATTCTCTGAGGAGGAAAGTTCATGTTCATCATTATGATTTGGTTTCTTCGCACATCCATTGATGAGGAAATATTAGAATTAGGCTCAAGTGAAATGACTGGAGAGCCATTGCTTACCTGGTTGAGATGACCAGTAGGAAGTTATATTTATGAGTCTGAGTTTCAGAAGACAAGATCTTAGACAGGTTCCTGTTGCATCATTAACACTGCACTTGGGATAAATAAGAAAAGACAGCCAAAGACAAACCCTTGACACAGCTGCCTGAAAAGTAGAGGTAGGAGAGAGGAGCATGACACGGCAGCTAAGAGAAGCTATAGAAAGATGCCATACTGTCTGATTCTATGTATTGTTGCCATGACGTGGTAAAATTCTTTATTGCATCTGCTTATTCAGCAAATAGTGATTAGTAAAATTAAATTTAAAGTTTAACAATACTTCTATTTCCTGGACTCTTCAGCTAGTATTGTATAATGTTCATTCTCATACACTAATTTGCACCTTTTATTGTTTGTAAAGGAAACTTTTCAGTATACACTTTTCAGATGGGCTGAAGAGCTCGACGCACTCAATAGAACACAAGACTTACTTGGTTGTTACGAGCAGGCTTTGGAACTATTTCCTGATGATGAAGTGATTTGCAATAGTATGGGAGAGCATCTCTTCAGGTTTGTGGTAATTTCACTATTACCTCTTGAGGATTATTCTATATCAGTACAAGTCAGGGTTCAATTATGCAGTAATTTGTTTTATTTGGTTTTGAGATAGTTGCACTATGTTGCTTAGTCTGGTGTCAAACTTGTAGGTTCAAGTGATACATCAGGTTCTCAAGGAACTGAGACTACACATCTATGCCACCATGCCTGTCTATATATAGTAATTTGAACGGGTAAAATTTACTGTAAAGAATGAACTGTAACAGGATTTGAGCAGAGTGATTAGATACTCAATGTAAAATTACAAAATTAGTAGTAAAGTAAGCGCAAAACAATATAGGGATAGCAAATGTAATATAGCAATTTTAAAATTATGTGTGTGTGTATGTGTGTGTGTACAAATGTTATCACAGTGCACATGTGGCAGTATATGCAGTCTTTCCAGTTCTGAGAAAGTAAATTAACTTAGCAATAGTCTTATTGTTAAACACTTTTGTTCAATATGGAGAAATGTTTTCTAAATAACTTTTTGAAAGAACCTCTGTATGAGAGTGTAAAGTCTATGTGGGTCATGCACTATAAGATGTATATATATTTTAAATAAATTTATTTGTATATGTGCATGTGTGCCAAGGCACAGGTGTGGAGGTCAGAGACAACTTGGGATCGGGGGTTGGTTCTTTCCTTCTGCCGTTTGAGTTCTGAGGATTGAACCAGGTTGTCAGGCTTGTTGGCAAGCACCTTTACCTGCCAAGCCATCTTGCCAGCCCAAGATGTATAAATACTTATTGTAGTATCAAATGGCATGTCTCAAATTTTGAGAGTTGATAGATACAATTTTTTTAAACAATTGCTTACTAAAAAGTTCTTGCTCCCAAAATATTCTGATTTTCTATTGAGACTGCTCCATAAGATGATGAAAATATAGGCAAAGATTGAGTCTTTATGTTATGCACTTCTTATGTGTATTTACTTATTTCTTATTTTTGAGACAGGTCTCATGTAGCCCCAGGCTGGCCTCAAACTTGCTATATAGCTTAGAATGACTTGAAGTTGTGATCCTCCTGCTCAGCCTTGGTGAGATTACAGTTGTGCACCATCACACCTAGTTTATGAAGTGCTGGGGATCAAATCAAATCCAGGGCTTTGTGCATTCTAGGCAGCCATTCTGTTTACTAAGCTGCCTCTCCAACCCCAAAGTGTTTTTATAAGTGAAATATGACTTCTGTAGAACAACATTTTCCTTCACTGGAATTTTTTTTTGGGGGGTTCTTTTTGAGACAGGGTCTCCCTGTAGCCCCAGCTGTCCTGGAACTCACTATGTAGACCAGGCTGGCCTTGAACCCACAGAGATCTGCCTGCCTCTGCCTCCCGAGTGCTGGGATTAAAGGCGTGCGCCACCACGCCTGGCTTTTCACTGGAATTTTTATATACTTTCCATAGGAGCTTTCTAATAGGAAAACTAGTAGAAACCCAAAACATTAGTTTGAGGTTTTCTCTAATAAATCTGAGTTTTTTGCTTTGTACAAAACAAAATATCCCCTAATTCCACCCAAAAACTAGGGTTAGTTCTTGGTTTTTGTGTCATTATAGTGCCTTATTTATTCTGTATACAAATATTATTTTACATGTTTCAGTATTCTACCGTTAGTCCTTTCCTCTTCTAGTTATATCAAATTTTATTAAATGAAAAGTTATGCATAAGAAATGGTCTTAATAGGTTTTATTTGGCCTCCTTGATGTAGCTACTATGCATTTAACAGCTTTAATGAATGTGACCTAGGGGTTGATAGTAAATATTTTTTTTTTTTTTTTTTTTTGCCTTTTTGTCTTTTGTCCAGCTGGCCTGGAACTTGCTATATAGACCAGGCTGGCCTCAAACTCAGGAGAGAGCCACCTGCCTCTGCCTTCCAAGTGCTGGGATCAAAGGCCACCACACCTGGCCTAAATATTCTTTAAAAAAATTTTTTTTATCTTTTATGTGTATGTGTGTATTGCCTGCATGTATGTAAGTATACCCTTATCATGCATTGCCCTTGGAGGTCAGAAGAGGGTCTCCCAGAACTGGAGTTACAGATGGTTGTTAGCTGCCATGTGGGTCCTGGGAATCGAACCCAGGTCCTCTGCAAGATCCACCAGTGCTCTTACCTGCTTAGCCATCTCTCCAGCCCTGATAGTGCATATTCTCTTTTTTTTAAAATTTATTTAATAACCATATGATTAGAAGAAGCATTTCATTACAGCTTTAACATATTCAATAACATTTTCCAGACATGCTCCAGAGCACGAGTACATATCTTTCACGGGTGGCTGTAAGTTTCTAGGTTCACAGTTGAATTAATACAGTTATACAAGATTGAACTCAGTATAAGCCCTGTAAGACATAAAATTGAATGAGTTTTTAACCTTTAAGAAAGATCTCCATTTCATTTTAAAATATACTGTTTCCTACAGAAAGACTCGTTTTTAATGCTACTAACACTTAGATGTTTGCACATGCGTCTCTAATCTCTATGTATCTGATTATTACTAGTCACAATTCATTATACTTGGATCCTTGGCACTTGAGTATGGATTATAAAGTCATCAGGTAGATTTCAGTGGTAATGTTTATCATTTCTACTAATTAACATGATGTAATTTTTATGCTCCCTCCTTATTTTTTTATTTGTTGATTTTGTATGTGTGTGCATATCATGCAGAACACCCCAAACAATTTTATTCATCTATATATAATTTTATATGTAAGTGCACCCATGTCGTGCAATGCCCGCGGAGGTCAGAAGAGGCTGTTGGATCACCTGGAATTGGAGTTACGGACAGTTGTTAGCTGCCATGTGGGTGCTGGGATTCAAACCCAGGTCTTCTGCAAGAACAGCCAGTGTTCTTAACCACTGAGTCATCTCTCCAGCCCCAGTGAATATTCTTTTAAGGGGACAAAATTTGATAGTTTCTCATTGTTGAGTATGATAATAATTAGAAAAATAAGGCAGCTTGTCCACTGAGGTTTGTTCACATTAATAGTTACCCTAATGAGTAAAGTTTTCTTCTCTATAAATTAACAGTTTCATTACATTTTAATGAAAATTTCCAAAGACCCTCGCATCCCTTTTATATTTTTTATTTTTTGATTGTTTTTTGAGATCGGGTCTCACTATACAGCCCTGGCTGGCCTCAAACTCAGATTCACTTGCTTTTCCCTCCCAAGTGCTGGGACTACAGGCATGCACACCACACCCAGCCTTGAGATGAAATCTTTTTTTTTTTTTTTTAAGCTTTTTTGTTTTAATTTATTTGAGACAGGGTCTCAGTGAGATGAAAATTTAACCTGCGTTTCCCTGATGGCCAAGGACTTTGAGCACTTCTTTTTTTAGTGTTTCTTAGCCATTAAATAGGTCCTCACATTGGATTTTCTTTTGTTCTTAAATTTATGTAAGTTGACATGCCTTACTGACTTTAGTTATATTTCCAGATTATACCCATATAGCAGTGCTTGTACTTTTAAAGCTGTTGTAAGATAAATTTCCTGTAACAGGAAATTGTACCTTTATGCACGTTTGGCAGATTATACAACTGTAGGCGGCCAGGTGTGGTGGCGCATGTCTTTAATCCCAGCACTCAGGAGGCAGAGGCAGGCGGATCTCTGTGAGTTCAAGGCCAGCCTGGTCTACATAGTGAGTTCCAGGCCAACTGGGGCTACAGGGAGACCCTGTCATACCATACGTCATACCTGTGGGGATGTATGGTATGACATTAATGTGAGCAGATAGTTACCAATTATTGAACAAAAAAGAGTAATAATTTGCTTGGGGAAATGTGACCAAACAAAATTTCTAATTTAGACATTGCTAATTCAGAATTTATGATAATCTAAATACAGCTTTGCTGCATGTTTACTTTTGTTCTCTAGGATAGAGCTTAGTTTCTCTTTTTTCCTTTTCAATTGTTCTGTACTACTTTTCTCATCAAAAACAGCGTAGCAAGCTGGTTATGGTGGCTCAGGCCCATAAGCCTAACCCTTGGGAGGTGGAGGTAGGAGAACCAGGCTACAAAAGAACCTTCTCAGGACAAAACAAAACAACAAAAAGCTACACCAGTCCTTCCCCACCCTAAAGCTCTTGCTTCAGGAGAGAGCGATTTCCAAAGCAAGTAACAGTTTTGTTTCCTGACATCTGTTTGTGAAGCAAGATTTATTTCTGGATGGTCTCAACTTTACAAATTTTTGTCAGTTCACTAGCATCAGATTTAAGCAAAATATATTTAAGTTACTAATTGGAAAGATAAGGATTCTCTTAGTAAAAAGGAAAAAGGCATTCTTGTAGTTCACTGATATTGACTTACATGTTAAGTCTTTCAGTATGAAGTATACATTGAGTGCATTAGAGCACTGCCATTTAAGAAAACTGATATATTATCAAACACTGGGGAAGCACAGACTTGGGATCAACTAGGAGTAGCTTTGTATTGATTCAAGAGATTGATTATTAGTACTTGAAAGTCTGCACAGTTCTCTGAATCAAGCAACAGGCCCTTGGGCATCAGTTGATTATCAGTAGCTAATGGAATCGAGACACATTGAAGAGAAGTTCTGTGGTCACTTAGGAGCTTTGCAATTCATTATTAATTAACATCAAGTTGTAGCTGGATATGATTTGATTGGGGAGAAGACAATAGTGCAGAAATGTTTGACAATAACTAAAACAAGATTCACTAATTTCATAAATTTGAAACTATCACTTTCCACTTTGGCAGAACTATGCTCTTTCCTCTTTTACCTTCAATATTATTAAACTAAAATATGAGTGCCCATCATGTAACAACATTGTTTTTTGGTATGTGGTCCCATTTGTCTTAACCATACTCAAAATCAATAGTCTGATGAAGTTTCTTTAGACTTCACAGTGGTTAAAGGCACTTCTGTGGAAGAATTTCACTAGCTCAGCTTTGTTCCATGTGTGGACCATAAGTTATTGATTAATGACATAAGTATAGAAATTGATACTGGTGTAAATCCAAGTCTATGGTCAGGGAGCTCACATGCTGAACAAAGGTATAGAGCAGTTTGGGTGATGCTGAAATCTGTTGTTGTGTGAACTGCTTACTAATCATGTTCAGCACAGTCATTTTGGTCTACAGTTAGATTTCCTACAGAGTGACAGAGTCCTTCACTACAGCTTGAGAAGCACTGTTTACATGGCTTCATAGTTTTCCCCTTTTATTTTTTTATTTGCTCGTATGTAATTCAGAAGCAAGTGCATGACTTGGACTTTTTTCCCTTTAAGTACAGAGTTGTTTTCCTTTTGCTGTTGTATTTTTATTAACATATAATAACAGTAAAACTGCCATAAACGACTCTGGCAGCAAATTCAGTTGGTTCTTGTGTATGTGTGTTTGTATGTGTATGAGTGCATGTGCATTCATGTGGAGGCCAGAGATTGGTGTTAAGTGTTTCCTCAATAACTCTCCCCCCACTTATTTATTTATTTATTTTTATTTTTGGTCTTTTGAGACAGGTTCTCCCTGTAGCCCCAGCTGTCCTGGAACTCACTATGTAGACCAGGTTGGCCTTGAACTCACAGAGATCCACCTGCCTCTGCCTCCCGAGTGTTGGGATTAAAGCGTGTGCCACCATGTCTGGCACTCCCCCTCATTTTATCTGTTTGTATGTGTGTGTACATGTTTGTGCGTGTTCATAGGGGGATATTGAGGGCGGTGTGTGTGTCATGGCACGCATGTGGAGGTCATAGGACAACTTTGGGTGTCTGTCCTTGCTGTAGTAGTGATGGGGTTACAGACACATACCACCACATGTGGCTTTATGTGGATTATGGGGGATCCAAACTCCAGTCCACACAGTGCTTTACCTAGTGACGCATCTCCCCAGCACTCCACTTAGTTTTTTGAGAAGCTTCTCTTACTGAATCTGGAGCTTGATAATTGACTACACTGGTTGGCCAGCAAGTTCCAGGGGTATTCCTGTCTCTCCCTCCCCAGTGTTGGGGTTATAGGTGTGTACCACCACACTTGATTTTTATGTGGGTGCTGGGAATCTAAACTCAGGTCCTCGTGCTTTCATAGCAAGCACTTTACCAACTGAGCCATCTCCCCAACCCCACTGAGTCTTAATGACCATTGACTTAGTTTCTGGTAGAAAAGTCAACCTAAAGAGAAACTAGCCATGGGCTTTAAGATGCTTTACAGTAGTGGTTTGAGAAATAATTTGTTGTCTAGCAATTTGGTTAAGCGAAGGATGACTGTGAGGGCAGCTATATGTTAGTTCCATGGTAATTTATATTCAAGTATTTGTTAATGTCCTGAGCTCTGGGGAATTCAAGAAAGATGTCATGAGACTACAGTCCTCACAGAAAGGTTTGCAAAGGAGGAAGACTCCTTTGGGACCTGGAGTAGTGATGGATTTTTTAGGCCAGTGTCATGAATAAGGCACTCTAATTCATCGCATGTAGTTGAATGTATTTTGCCTTTGTCGTTTCTTTTTCTCTAGGATGGGCTTTAGAGATGAGGCAGCTGGATATTTTCATAAAGCAGTGAAGCTAAACCCTGATTTCAGTGATGCAAAGGAGAATTTTTATCGTGTTGCAAACTGGCTGGTGGAACGCTGGCACTTTATCATGCTTAATGATACCAAGAGGAACAGGGTTTATAATGCTGCAATCCAGAAGGCAGTGCACTTGGGGTCCAAAAGTGTTTTGGATATTGGAGCAGGAACTGGAATACTGAGGTTTGCTGTGATTGTTATTTTTTATTGTAATATATAGTAATATAAGTTAAGGACTTTTGCTAGAGTGCCAAGTATAACATTGGTATTTAAAAACAGCAATTGTTTCTCATAATCTTGTTAGGGATATTTGTGCAGCTGATAATTATGCTTGTATTGCCTGCAGAAGAACCCAGGTCTTCTGCAAGAACAGTCAGTGTTCTTAACTGCTGAGCCATCTCTCCAGCCCCTGTAACTTTTTATTTATCAGGAGGTGAAGAAAATAAGAAAAACTTGATTATTGTTAAAATTTTGAATGATGAATTTATAGTGTTCTTTGTATTAACATTTTGGTGGAATTTAGAAAGCCTGTTAAACCTCTTGATGATTTTGTGTTAATTGTGTGGGTGCCATTATTTATTGAATGATTTGTTTCTAGAATATTCGTTCATTCTTTCATTTATTTTTTATTTTAATTCTTAATTATTATTACTGTTCGTATTATGTATGTGCACCTGAGTACAGGTGTCTACCATGGTACACATGTGGAGGTCAGAGGACAGCTCTCAGGAGTCAGGTCTCTCCTTCCACCATGGGTTCCAGGAATTGAACTGTGGTCATCAGGCTTGTAGAATGTGCTTGATAGCTTGAATTTCAACTTGACACACCTGGGTTGAGGGAGCCTCAATTAGGGAATTGTCTCCATTGGACTGGCTTGTGGCCATGTCTGTGGGGCATTTCTTGAATTTTGAGTGATGTGAGAGAGCCCAGCCCACTGTGGGCGGTGCCATCCCTGGGCTGGTTGTTCTGTATTGTATAAGAAAGATGGGCCTGTGCTTCAGCTCCTGCCCTGAGTTCCTATCTTGGGCTCCCTCAGTGATGAACTGTGACTCGGGAGATGTAAGACAAATAAACCCTTTCCTCCCCAAGTTATTAATCAGAGTGTTTTGTCACAGCAGTTGAAAAGAAATTAGAACACACAGCAAGCACTACCTACCCAACCATCGTGCTGACCCTAGATCATTCTTTTAAATGCATACCAAGTAATCATTGTGTTAAAGAATGAAAAGACCCCATGTTCGAAGCTTCATAATTCTATTAAAATTAGAAAAAGATAAAATGGATTTTTCTTCCTTTGTAGCATGTTTGCCAAAAAAGCTGGAGCACACTCAGTGTATGCCTGTGAGTTATCTAAGACCATGTATGAACTTGCCTGCGATGTAGTGGCTGCAAACAAGATGGAAACTGGGATAAAGCTCCTACATATGAAGTCGCTTGACATAGAGATCCCCAAACACATTCCTGAGAGGTATTACATTATAAACTAAAGTATGTATAATTTACTTTAAAAAAATTAAGGTACATTCTAGGTTTTTGTGTTAACAAACTACTGACTTCCTTATTTTATGAAGATGGGGCTATCAGATAAAGTTAGGTTTTCGTAATACTGTGCTTCATGTCAGTACTTAAAGACCTCAAGACAACCCCGCAGCAAGGGATTTAGTAAAAAAAGATTGACCTTTAACAAGTTCCTTAGATAAAGATTGACCTTTAGCAAGTCACTTAAAAATATGTATTTTCCGCCAGGCATGGTGGTGCACGCCTTTAATCCCAGCACTCGGGAGACAGAGACAGGCGGATCTCTGTGAGTTCGAGGCCAGCCTGGTCTTCATAGCGAATCCAGGAAGACCCTGTCTCAAAAAGACCAAAAAAAAAAAGAAAAATGTATTTTCATTTATAAAAATAGAGAACATGTTTAACAACTATTAAATAATTTAATTTAAAACATGAACAGTCCAGACTACACAGACTTACCACATTCTGTATTATAATCCCTGCTTAAAACTAAAGTTTTGGGGGGCTGGAGAGATGGCTCAGCAGTTAATAACACTGACTGTTCTTGCAGAACACTCGGGTTTGAATCCCAGCACCCACATGGAAGCTAACAACTGTCCGGAACTCCAGTTCCAGGAGATCTGACAGCCTCTTCTGCATGCATTGTATGACACGGGTGCACTTGCCTACATGCAGGCAATACACGCATACACATAAAATAAAAATAATAAATATATATAAAAAATTAAGTTTTGGAATGTCAGTTGTCAAAGTATTTTGGCTTATGCCCTTTAAATTCTTTAAGTACAGTTGTAGAAGTCTTGCCTTTTAAATATGTTATCTCAGTGTGTTCCATGTCGGAAGAGCAATGGAAGCTAGCACGAGAAGGCTTTAAAACTCATCTGGCCCAACGCTGTCATTTTAAAGAACTTTTCTTTTTTTAATGTAACACTTTTTGTTGTTGTTGTTACTGTTATTGTTTTATTTTGTTTTGCTTTGTTTTGTTTTTGAGACAGGGTCTCCCTGTGGCCCTAGCTGGCCTGGAACTCACTGCTGTATAGACCAGGCTAGCCTTGAACTCACAGAGATCAGCTTGCCTCTGCCTCCTGATTGCTGGGATTTAAAAGGCGTGGACCACCACACCCGTCATAACACATTTAATAACTTCTAGGCTATCCATTTTCTTCTCATCTTACTTAAATGCAGTCTATATGTAAGAAAATATTTTGGTGCTCTATTGTTATTTGAACTCTAATTTTTAAAAGTCATCTTCCATTTTTAATAATGTCTGTATAGTTCTTATATTTTTCAGTGGTCTCTATTTGTTCCTGTGAAAGAAGTCTGTCAGATCATTAATGCAGTTGTATACCCATTTTATAGGAAAAAAAAAGTCCTAAATTGCCTTATTATGCTTGGTTGCCATAACAAAATATCACAGATTACAGGGTTTAACCAAGAGACACATACTTTTTCAGGTACAGGTACTCTTTTTGGCTTACATTGGCCACTGCTCTGTGTCTGCATATGGCTTTCCTCTGTCTGACTGATTGCCATTGCTGCTGCTTTTATTAGGACACCAGTTTTAGTGGATTAAGATCCCATGTCCTCATATAACCTTAGTTACCTCCTAAAGGCTTGAACACCAAATACAGCCATGTTAGGATTATGGCTTCAACATAAGATTTAGGGTCGAGACATAGTTCAGTCCGTGGCATGAATCAAAAGTCACTTAAATTTGTACTTTTCTCACAGATAAAATTATAGGAAGAGCAGCCAGGCGTGGTGGCACACACCTTTAATCCAGCACTCGGGAGGCTGAGGCAGGAGGATATCTGTGAGTTCCAGGCCAGTTGGGGCTACAGGGACGTTAAAAAAAAAAAAAAAAAAAAAAATTACAGAAAGAACTATGGGTTTTGAATCAGGTAGAATAGGAATTTCAATTCAGACTCTACTAACTCACCTTGATCCTAAGCAGATCTCTAGATTAAGATGTTAGACTGAATGATTTGAAATAATTTTCATATTCTAAGTGTAACCATTCATAAATACCACCGAATGTTTTCTGTATGTATATATAATTGGGTCTAGGTACTGTTGCGGATGCCTAAGTCATTCCTGCCCTTAAGATAACTACAGATCTACATAGGAGCATAAGAAATATTCATTAACCTTTGTGTATTTTCAGGCTATAAACGTAATATTGGCCCTAAAAACAAAAGGAATTCAGAGAAGGGGAGAAATTATTTTCAATTGTCTTGAATTTTCTAGAAAGAAAATAGATCCTAGAGCATAACTCTGGAGTAGGCTTTTGTGAAGACTCAAGAGGTGTTAAGATAGGCACAGTCTGTATGTAAGAGGCAGACATGGGTAGTATGGCATCATAGAAGGGACAGATGGCATTTCTGAGAGGGAAGGGCCTTGCCAATATTACCTGTTATTTTCAGAAGGAAAAGTGCATTTGGGCTGATGAGGTGGTTCAGTGGGTAAAGGTGCTTGCTGCCAATCTGAACGACCTGAGTTTGATCCCTGGAACTCACATTGTAGAAGTAGATAGCCAACTCCCAAGAGTTGCTCTCTGTCACGGTGCAGTGACCACAGTCCAAGCCTGAAAGGCTTGGGGACCCCGACGGATAGAAATCAGAATGCAGGGGATGCAGAGGCTTGTGTACCAGTGCATGTTTATTGTGAACTAAAGCAAGCTTATATAGAAAGCAGATCTGGAGCAACCAAGGAATAACCAATGATGTGGGAAGCGAGCACGGCCGAGCCAGCCAAAGATGGCACCTTGGCTGGCTGCCAAACCTCGTGCTGTTTACTTCAACTCTTGGCTGATTGCCAAGGCTCGTGATCCTCGCTTGTTTACTCCAACTCCCTGAAGCATGGTGAGCCCGAACATGTGCTGCCTGCCTGATGATCTTACTACATGGCCCAATGAGCTGTCACTCTGCCTGCCCACTACACGTGTGTGTGCCCTGATTGGTCCTGGCTGGGGGGAGGGCTGTTGGGAACGCTATAT